CGTTTTCTTGTACCTCGAAACAACTTTTCGCCATACATTTCCTTCTAGCGACTAGCAATGTTTACCCCCTTACGATCCCAGAGTTCTTCGCGCAAGCACGGGTATCTGATTACTGGCAACTCATTCATTGGTTTAAATTTCAATTACTCGCGGCACGATTGGCTTCAAAAAAGTCGTGCCACGTTTTCTAAAGAGCATTTTGTAAGAGATTTCGCGTTGTTGCTGATTGTTTTTTCTTTTTGAAACTACCATTGCGCGCGCAGCAACTCTTTAAATTACGGGAAAATGATGGTGGGGGTGGGGGCGGGGGAGGGGTGTCGGGGTCTTATACATAAATCCCTGAGCGTAAGCCAAGTAGGGATCCGAGGGGTATGTACCCCAGAAAATGTCTGACTTTTAGTCTCTTGAAATGACATATCATGCATCTCAAATAACAAGCTCGGCATTAAACAATTACAGTCTTGAAGCACTTAAGAAGCAATGTTTTTTTACTATACACGCAAGTGTAAGAATTCATTACTCCAGCCTCTAAATTAAATATTAAATCCGACTTTGTGCAATAAAATTTACATTCCTGTAACCCCAACGATTCACCTTCAGCGCGATTATTTCTTTAGTAAAAATAGATTATGAATTGTCGATATTATGGGACAGTTGCTTCCCAAAAATGAACTGCATCGCAATCAATACATAATAAAATAATTCAACCCTCTTACTGTGATTTTTCTCATCCTTCAGGGTATTTGGTTCAGTGGCAGTATTCAGTGATCCATCAACATACTAACAGAGTGAGTTTTATTTCCTTTACAAGTTTACTTAGTCACACGGTTCAGATGTTCTATGTTAATAACTGGTTTTTTGGGAGGAATAATAGAAGTTTCTTCTAACGTTTCGCCAGCAAATTGTTCATTTGGAATCACGTTCAACTATCAGAACAGAAAAGTACCACGTATCATTAATATTTATGATTTTTAAAGACTGCCCTTAAGTTTTCGACCAAACTGAAAGCGTGTTTTACCTTCGCCAAAAGTGTTGCATCTGTTTGGGTACATCCGACAAAAAACATACCCATTGATCAAATATTCTCAACTAACTATCAATATGAAAGGTTTTTAAGTCGAAATTCACAACTT